TCGATTTGAAAAAAATCCGCCGTTTCTTTTGAATAGCCATATTGGTATCGGTGAATTGTTCGCAATATTTCGTTGCAGTTATTGTGTTCGCCGGCTGGAAAATTCTCAAAGTGAATTATCCCTCTGCATTCACACCAAACGAACAATAACACCATCACTGAATGAAAGCCCGCTTTTTCTACAATTTGCATAACTAAAAAAAATATACGTCTACTCTAAACGTATAAAATTATATAGAAAATATCTTTCGTTGAAAGGCATAAAGTTGCGTTCGAAATATTTAGATTTCCTCGTTAAATAACGCAGAGAGATGCTGATATGCCGCTAATCAAAAACACTCAAACCAGCCAACAAATCTTTACTTGAAGGCATACAATTGCACTCAAAATATATTGGGTTGGTACATAATTATCAGGCGTTTTCTAAACAATATTTATTATGAAAAAAGAAACATGGCAATTCAAAAATAACATTTTTAAATGATTATTTTGGAGCGTGCGATTATCGACACGCATTATTATAACCTGAAAATAAAATAATACTTTTATTAAAAAAAATAAAGAAAACAGCAATTTTTATTAACAAATAACTCGCCTACAGAAACGCCTGATAATTATGCACCAAACGAATATTTAGTTGAAGCTATAAAATTGTGTTCAAATTATTCGGACGGCATTAAATAACCCATAGAGGTGTTGATATACTGTTAAAAAAATCAACCTACTAACCAACTTTTCTTAGCTTTAAACACATTTTTCATGTTTCGCAATACTTTCTGACATATTGGAAGATACATTACGCTATTTTTATGCGTACTTGTATTTCGTTATCACGGCTTCCGTCATCTGTTAAAACATTTCCCAGAGAAATCAACCTTCGCAATTGTGAAGAAAAATATCTTTTCATCATCTTGATACCAATTCCATTATTCTATCTCCTCTAAAACCTGATTTATAGGATTGAAGACCGTATTTATCAAGCAATCCTCGTAGATAATGCACGTGTGTGTGCGCGCTCTCGTGTAAATTTCATTTTTGTTTTTGTGTGGAAAGCTAGACCGAGAAAGAAAATATTTGCTTGTGTTTAAGTCGGGGTGTGCATTTCTTAATTCTGAAATCAAATCTCCCTTTTATTGGTGTTGTATCCGGTCGTGTCTCCGGTCATCAGTTTCCCAGCATATCCCGTTCTTGATAACTGACACCTTGTGCACCGTTGCGAAAAACCTGGTTCTGGAACGCTGATCTTACCAGGAAATGTCGACGCCATTGGAATCAAGGCGTTCAGCTTCAGATACAAAATTGACTAAGAAATTGGATTTAAGTCAAACTAAATAAAATAAAATTCTAAAATATATATATGAAATATATATATATATATATATATATATATATATATATATATATATATATATATATATATATATATAAATATATGAAAATTTGAATTGCAACTTCAATAATTGCCCTCTTTTTAGTTCTGTTCTTCCTTGAATTTACCGTTATCTGCTTTCTTGTTTCCTTTTCTCTTCCCTTCATTCTCAATTATATTTTCTCTTCCTAATTTGTTTCGTTAATTCTCAATCTTTTCTTTTCTTTCCAATTTCTTTATTTCATTCTCAATTTTCTTCCAAATATCTTTCTTTCATTTTCAATTTAATTCAAATTTCTTTATTTCATTCTCAATATTTTTCCAAATATCTTTCTTTTATTCTCAATTTAATTCCAAATTTCTTTCTTTCATTTTCAATTTAATTCCAAATTTCTTTCTTTCATTCTCAATTTAATTCCAAATTTCTTTATTTCATTCTCAATTTAATTCCAAATATCTTTCTTTCATTTTCAATTTTCTTCCAAATTTCATTCTTTCATTCTCAATTTAATTCCAAATTTCTTTATTTCATTCTCAATTTTCTTCCAAATATCTTTCTTTCGTTTTCAATTTAATTCCAGATATCTTTCTTTCATTTTCAATTTAATTCCAAATATGTTTCTTTCATTTTCAATTTAATTCCAAATTTCTTTCTTTCATTCTCAATTTAATTCCAAATTTCTTTATTTCATTCTCAATTTTCTTCCAAATATCATTCTTTCGTTTTCAATTTAATTCCAGATATCTTTCTTTCATTCTCAATTTAATTCCAAATATCTTTCTTTCATTCTCAATTTAATTCCAAATATCTTACTTTCATTCTCAATTTGATTCCAGATATCTTTCTTTCATTTTCAATTTTCTTCCAAATATCTTTCTTTCATTTTCAATTTATTCCAAATATCTTTCTTTCATTTTCAATTTAATTCCAAATTTCTTTCTTTCATTTTCCATTTAATTCCAAATTTCTTTATTTCATTCTCAATTTAATTCCAAATATCTTTCTTTCGTTTTCAATTTAATTCCAGATATCTTTCTTTCATTTTCAATTTAATTCCAAATATCTTTCTTTCATTCTCAATTTAATTCCAAATATCTTTCTTTCATTCTCAATTTAATTCCAAATATCTTTCTTTCATTTTCAATTTAATTCCAAATTTCTTTCTTTCATTTTCAATTTAATTCCAAATTTCTTTATTTAATTCTCAATTTTCTTCCAAATATCTTTCTTTCATTCTCAATTTAATTCCAAATATCTTTCTTTCATTCTCAATTTAATTCCAAATATCTTTCTTTCATTCTCAATTTAATTCCAGATATCTTTCTTTCATTTTCAATTTTCTTCCAAATATCTTTCTTTCATTTTCAATTTATTCCAAATATCTTTCTTTCATTTTCAATTTAATTCCAAATTTATTTCTTTCATTTTCAATTTAATTCCAAATTTCTTTATTTCATTCTCAATTTAATTCCAAATATCTTTCTTTCGTTTTCAATTTAATTCCAGATATCTTTCTTTCATTTTCAATTTAATTCCAAATATCTTTCCTTCATTCTCAATTTAATTCCAAATATCTTTCTTTTTCATTTTCAATTTAATTCCAGATATCATTTTTTTCTTTCATTTTCAATTTTTCTTCCAAATATCTTTCTTTCATTTTCAATTTTTCTTCCAAATATCTTTCTTTCATTTTCAATTTTAATTCCAAATTTCTTTCTTTCATTCTCAATTTAATTCCAAATTTCTTTATTTCATTCTCAATTTTCTTCCAAATATCTTTCTTTCATTCTCAATTTAATTCCAGATATCTTTCTTTCATTTTCAATTTAATTCCAAATATCTTTCTTTCATTTTCAATTTAATTCCAAATTTCTTTTCTTTCATTCTCATTTAATTCCAAATTTCATTATTTCATTCTCAATTTTCTTCCAAATATCTTTTATTTCATTTTCAATTTAATTCCAAATTTCTTTCTTTCATTCTCAATTTTCTTCCAAATATCTTTCTTTCATTTTCAATTTAATTCCAAATTTCTTTCTTTCATTCTCAATTTTCTTCCAAATATCTTTCTTTCATTCTCAATTTAATTCCAGATATCTTTCTTTCATTTTCAATTTTCTTCCAAATATCTTTCTTTCATTTTCAATTTAATTCAAATTTCTTTATTTCATTCTCAATATTTTTCCAAATATCTTTATTTCATTCTCAATTTTCTTCCAAATATCTTTCTTTCATTCTCAATTTAATTCCAAATTTCTTTCTTTCATTCTCAATTTAATTCCAAATTTCTTTATTTCATTCTCAATTTTCTTCCAAATATCTTTCTTTCGTTTTCAATTTAATTCCAGATATCTTTCTTTCATTTTCAATTTAATTCCAAATATGTTTCTTTCATTTTCAATTTAATTCCAAATTTCTTTCTTTCATTCTCAATTTAATTCCAAATTTCTTTATTTCATTCTCAATTTTCTTCCAGATATCATTCTTTCGTTTTCAATTTAATTCCAGATATCTTTCTTTCATTCTCAATTTAATTCCAAATATCTTTCTTTCATTCTCAATTTAATTCCAAATATCTTTCTTTCATTCTCAATTTAATTCCAGATATCCTTCTTTCATTTTCAATTTTCTTCCAAATATCTTTCTTTCATTTTCAATTTATTCCAAATATCTTTCTTTCATTTTCAATTTAATTCCAAATTTATTTCTTTCATTTTCAATTTAATTCCAAATTTCTTTATTTCATTCTCAATTTAATTCCAAATATCTTTCTTTCGTTTTCAATTTAATTCCAGATATCTTTCTTTCATTTTCAATTTAATTCCAAATATCTTTCTTTCATTCTCAATTTAATTCCAAATATCTTTCTTTCATTTTCAATTTAATTCCAGATATCTTTCTTTCATTTTCAATTTTCTTCCAAATATCTTTCTTTCATTTTCAATTTAATTCCAAATATCTTTCTTTCATTTTCAATTTAATTCCAAATTACTTTCTTTCATTTTCAATTTAATTCCAAATTTCTTTTATTTAATTCTCAATTTTCTTCCAAATATCTTTCTTTCATTCTCAATTTAATTCTAAATATCTTTCTTTCATTCTCAATTTAATTCCAAATATCTTTCTTTCATTCTCAATTTAATTCCAGATATCTTTCTTTCATTTTCAATTTTCTTCCAAATATCTTTCTTTCATTTTCAATTTAATTCCAAATATCTTTCTTTCATTTTCAATTTAATTCCAAATTTCTTTCTTTCATTCTCAATTTAATTCCAAATTTCTTTATTTCATTCTCAATTTTCTTCCAAATATCTTTCTTTCGTTTTTCAATTTAATTCCAGATATCTTTCTTTCATTTTTCAATTTAATTCCAAATATCTTTCTTTTCATTCTCAATTTAATTCCAAATATCTTTCTTTCATTTTCAATTTAATTCCAGATATCTTTCTTTCATTTTCAATTTTCTTCCAAATATCTTTCTTTCATTTTCAATTTAATTCCAAATATCTTTCTTTCATTTTCAATTTAATTCCAAATTTCTTTCTTTCATTCTCAATTTAATTCCAAATTTCTTTATTTCATTCTCAATTTTCTTCCAAATATCTTTCTTTCATTCTCAATTTAATTCCAGATATCTTTCTTTCATTTTCAATTTTCTTCCAAATATATTTCTTTCATTTTCAATTTAATTCCAAATTTCTTTCTTTCATTCTCAATTTAATTCCAAATTTCATTATTTCATTCTCAATTTTCTTCCAAATATCTTTCTTTCATTTTCAATTTAATTCCAAATATCTTTCTTTCATTTTCAATTTAATTCCAAATTTCTTTCTTTCATTCTCAATTTTCTTCCAAATATCTTTCTTTCATTTTCAATTTAATTCCAAATTTCTTTCTTTCATTCTCAATTTTCTTCCAAATATCTTTCTTTCATTCTCAATTAAATTCCAGATATCTTTCTTTCATTTTCAATTTTCTTCCAAATATCTTTCTTTCATTTTCAATTTAATTCCAAATTTCTTTCTTTCATTCTCAATTTAATTCCAAATTTCTTTATTTCATTCTCAATTTTCTTCCAAATATCTTTCTTTCTTTTTCAATTTAATTCCATATTTCTTTCTTTCATTCTCAATTTTCTTCCAAATATCTTTCTTTCATTCTCAATTTAATTCCAAATTTCTTTCTTTCATTCTCAATTTTCTTCCAAATATCTTTCTTTCATTCTCAATTTAATTCCAAATTTCTTTCTTTCATTCTCAGTTTTCTTCCAAATTTCATTCTTAATTTTGTTCTTTTCTTCTAAATTTTTCCTTCATTCTCCATTTCTTTTTCTTCCAAATTTCTTTCCTTCATTCTCAATTTTTTTTCAAATTTCTTTATTTTATTCTCATTCACTTATTTTCCTCCCAATATTTTCCTTTTTTTCAATTTTTACTTCCATATTTGTTTATTTAATTGCCAGTTTCTTCTTTTCTTCCAAATTTCTTTCTTTCATTCTCAATTTTTCCTTCCAAATTACTTTATATCATTCGACATTTTCTTTTTTTCGTTCTAATTGCTCTTCTTCATTCCAAATTTTTCTTCCAGATATCTTTATTTCATTCTCAATTTCTTCTTTTCTTCCCAATAATTACTTCATTCGCAATTTTTCTTCTAAATGTCTATATTTCATTCTACTTTTCTTCGTTTTTCCCAATATTTTCCCACCATTCTCAATTTTTTTCTTTCAAATTTCTTTTTTTATTCTGAATTCCTTCTTATCTTCCCAATATTTTTCCTTAATTCTCATTTTTTGTTTCAAATTTCTTTATTGCATTCCCAATTTCTTTCATGTCTTCCCAATTTTTTCCTTCATTCTCAAATTCGTTTTTCTTCCAAATTTCTTTTTTTCATTCACAGTTTCTGTCATTGCATTTTATTTTCTATTTCTTTTCTTCATTTCATTTTCTTTATTTTCAATTTCTTTTCGTCCTTGCCAAATTCTTCTTAACTTCTCACTTTCTTCCCGATTTTTTTCTTCCTATGCCAGTTTCTTTCATTCAGTCTTTTCTTTTTTTTTTCTTGGTCATTTTTTTCTACTTACTTCCCATTTTCTTCCGTCCATTCTCAATATCTTTCCTTATTTCATTTTTTTCTCCTTTATCATTTTCTTTCCGTCCTTTTCAGTTTCTTCCGTTCTTTCTCAATGTCTTGAATCTTTTCTTAATTTCTTTTTATTCATACAAAAATCTAACCCTTTCTAGAGTATTTATTGTTCCTTCCGAATTTAATTCTTATCATTGAATTATTTACGTCACCTTTTCGCTGTATGATTTATTCGTAACCTTTATCCTTTTCCTTCAAATGGAATTTACTTTTTACTTGTACTTTCAGTGTATTACTTACGCTTTCTTTTTTATTACTCCTTTCTTTCTTTCTTTTTTTCTTTCTTTCTTTCTTCTTATTCACCTTCTTTACCCTTTCTTTGTAAATCATATTCTTTCTTTCTTTTTCATTTCCTTTTCTTTTTAAGTTATATCGACTTCTTCGTGTCTTTCTTTATCTTTCTTTCTTTCTTTCTTTCTTTCTTTCTTTCTTTCTTTCTTTCTTTCTTTCCCATTCATTTTCTTTTTAAGTTATATCTGCTTTGTGTCTTTATTTCTTTCTTCTTGTTTCGCTTTCTTTTTAAGTTAAATTATATTCTTTCTTTCTTTTTCATTTCCTTTTCTTTTTAAGTTATATCGACTTCTTCGTGTCTTTCTTTATCTTTCTTTATTTCTTTCTTTCTTTCTTTCCCATTCATTTTCTTTTTAAGTTATATCTGCTTTGTGTCTTTATTTCTTTCTTCTTGTTTCGCTTTCTTTTTAAGTTAAATCATATTCTTTCTTTTCTTTTTCATTTCCTTTTCTTTTTAAGTTATATCGACTTCTTCGTGTCTTTCTTTTTCTTTCTTTCTTTCTTTCTTTCTTCTTATTCACCCTCTTTACCCTTTCTTTGTAAATTATATCCTATTCTTTTTCCTGTCTTTCTTTCTTTACACATGTTTCTTTATTTAAAAAAAAATAACGAATTCGAATTTTCTTTTCCTTTCCATTTTGTTAGAATTCCATGTAAATCTTTGTTTTACTCATTTTCATGTCGTTCTTCAATTGTTTTTTTCTCTTTCTTTCTTTCATCTTTTTGCACCCCGTTTTTACCATGTCATTAGTTTTTTGTTTTTTTTAATTATTATAACCTCTTTTTTTCTTTATTCTTTCTACATTTTCTTTCTTTCTCATCGAGGTTTCCTTTCGTCCCGCTTCTTCTTCATAGTTCTTTGTTGTTAATCATTCTTTTTTTTCTTCCTTAATCTTTTCCTCTCCATTTTTATTTCTTTTCCTTTTCTCCTAAAATTATAACGTGTTATTTATTTTTTTCCTTCTTCTTTTTTCCACTTTTTCATTTTCTTTTTAAACTATATTGTTTCCTTTTTCCTTATTTACTCATTTTACTTTATTTCTGTTTCTTTGAACATTATAATTCATTCTTGCATTCTTTCTTTCTTTCTTTTTTCTTAAGTGTATTTTATATAATTCGTCATTTTAGGTCTTTTTTCTTCTCATGCTACTCTTATCTTTTCCCCTCTTTTTGTTTTCTCATTTTGTCCCTTGTTGAAATTGCTACAAGCATTTCTTTCTTTCTTTCTTTCTTTCTTTCTTTCTTTATTTATTTATTTCCCATTCATTTTCTTTTTCAGTTACATCTGCTTCGTGTCTTTCTTTCTTTCTTTCTTTCTTTCTTTATTTATTTATTTATTTATTTCCCATTCATTTTCTTTTTCAGTTACATCTGCTTCGTGTCTTTCTTTCTTTCTTTCTTTCTTTCTTTCTTTCTTTCTTGTTTCGCTTTCTTTTTAATTTAAATCATATTCTTTCTTTCTTTCTTTCTTTCTTTCTTTCTTGTTTCGCTTTCTTTTTAAGTTAAATCATATTCTTTCTTTCTTTATTTATTTATTTATTTATTTCCCATTCATTTTCTTTTTCAGTTACATCTGCTTCGTGTCTTTCTTTCTTTCTTTCTTCTTGTTTCGCTTTCTTTTTAAGTTAAATCATATTCTTTCTTTCTTTTTCATTTCCTTTTCTTTTTAAGTTATATCGACTTCTTCGTGTCTTTTTTTTCTTTTTTATCTTTCTTTCTTTTTCTTTCTTTCTTTCTTTTTTTTTTTTTCTTTTATTTATTTATTTCCCATTCATTTTTTTTCAGTTACATCTGCTTCGTGTCTTTCTTTCTTTCTTTCTTTCTTTCTTTCTTTCTTCTTTATTTATTTATTTATTTATTTATTTATTTCCCATTCATTTTCTTTTTCAGTTACATCTGCTTCGTGTCTTTCTTTCTTTCTTTCTTTCTTTCTTTCTTTCTTTCTTTCTTGTTTCGCTTTCTTTTTAAGTTAAATCATATTCTTTCTTTCTTTCTTTCTTTCTTTTCTTTCTTTTTTTTTTTTTTTAATTTAATATTCTTTCTTTCTTTTTTCTTTTTATTTATTTCCCATTCATTTTCTTTTCAGTTACATTCTTCTGTGTCTTTCTTTCTTTCTTTCTTCTTGTTTCGCTTTCTTTTTAAGTTAAATCATATTCTTTCTTTCTTTTTCATTTCCTTTTCTTTTTAAGTTATATCGACTTCTTCGTGTCTTTCTTTATCTTTATCTTTCTTTCTTTCTTTCTTTCTTTCTTTCTTTCTGTCTTTCTTTCTTTCGACTTGTCTCTCTTTCATTTTTAAGTGAAATCATTTTCTTTCTTTCTTTCTTTCTTTCTCGTGAAGTTTATTTTTTTCTCTTTTCTTCTTTGTTTTCCTTTGTTGTCATTCTTTATTCCTTTTCTACATTTCAATCTTCTCTTCCTTTCCTTCTCATTAGCTTCTTCCTTTCCTATTTCTTTTTCAGTAATTTCTTCTTTTTCCTTTTCTTACAATTCTTCTGTTTACTTTTCTTACATCTTTTCTACTTTCACTTTTAATCTTCAAAAATTACAAAATATTTATTTTTTCCTCTCTTTTTTACAGATTTCTCATTCAAATCATAATTTTATCGTTTGCACGTTCTTCATTCCTAATTCACCCAAGTCGAAAACCGCAAAGCATATTCACTCGTTCAATCAGTACATTTTTTCCCTTTTGACGCCAGAGTATTAATTTCACTACTGATAATTAATCGGGTACATCACTTCATCCGTATCCTATTAGTTGTACACCCCAGTTTAACTGAACACGATGCAAAAATTCACTCTGATGACTGGACCTTAAAGATAAAACCCCTCCAATTACATGAACCCAAAGTTTCAGGGCAAAATATCTAATCGATAAGGAAAGAATCCTATATCCGAACATTAGACGCATCGATTACATATCGGTGTTGTGACAGGCTTGCTTAATTAAAATGCGTATTTTAAAAAAAGATATTTATAGCATTTTTAGGCTTATGAAGTTTCAATAACAGTTGAATTTTTTAAAAAAGCTTGATATATATATATATATATATATATATATAATAAAAAATATATATATATATATATATATATATATATATATATATATATATATATATATATATATAAAGATTTTCTGTCCAGGACATTGTCTTTCGTCCTGTATTCTATGCTCTTGGAAATTTGTTTATATAGATTTGTATATATATATATATATATATATATATATATATATATATATATATATATATATATATATATATATATATATGACGTCACACATCATGAAATGGACAAGGTCTGATAATTATTTTAAGACATTTTATGTTTATACATTCTTTTTATAGATGCAAATATTTAAAATGTTTTATCTATAAAAAGAATGTATAAAATAAATGTCTTAATATATATATATATATATATATATTTACAAGTTGTTGAAGATGACGATGAGCGGTTGTATGGTTTGAACGGAAACCAATCCTTCAACTAATAAAGCAGGATTTTCTTCAAGGGCTGCTTCAAGAAGCTTTTTTCATCAAACTCAACTGGACGTCCGGTTCGATCTTCATCTTCAAGGGTGAAATCTCCACCTCTGAATTT